TGCTACTGCTACTACTACTACTACTCCTACTACTACTGCGACTACTACTACTACTACTACTACTACTACTACTATTACTACTACTACTACTACTACTACTACAACTACTACTACTACTACTACTACTACTACTACTACTACTACTATGACTACTACTACTACTACGACTACTACTACTACTACTACTACTACTTAGTACTACTGCTACTACTACTTCTCTATTACTACTACTACCACTACTACTACTACTACTACTACACTACTACTGCTGCTACTACTACTACTACTACTACTACTACTACTACTACTACTACTACTACTACTACTACTACTACTACTACTACGACTACTATTACTACTACTACTACTACTACATACTACTACTACTACTACTACGACTACTACTACTACTACTACTACTTACTACTACTACTACGACTACTACTACTACTATACCACTACTTACTACTACTACTACGGCGACTACTACTACAGCATCGAAGACGACTACGACGAGGACTACTACTACACAGCACGACTAGTCCTACTACTACGTTCTACTACTACTTTTGTACTACTACTGCCTACTACTCCTACTACTGCTGCTGATGCCTACTACTACAACTACTACTACTACTACTACTACTAATAACTACTACTACTACGACTACTACTACTACTACTACTCTACTACTACTACTACTACTACTACTACTACTACTACTACTACAACTGCTACTACGACTATTACTACGACTACCACTACTATTAGTACAACTACAACTTCGACGACGACGACGACTACTACTACAACTACGGTGACTACCACGACTGCCACGGCTACGACTACTACTACTACTACGACTACTACTACTACTACTACTACTACTACTACTTCTGCTGCTACTACTACTACTACTACTACTACTTTGACTACTGCGCCTACTACTACTACAGCTACAACTACAACTATAACTACAACTGCAACTACAACTACAACTACAACAACTACTACTACTACTACTACCACTACTACTACTACTCCTACTCCTACTACTACTACTACTACTACTACTACTACTACTACTACTATTACTACTACTACGGCTACTACTACTTACTACTAACTACTACTACTACTACTACTACTACTACTACTACTACTACTACTACTACTACTACTACTACTACTACTACTACGCTACTACGACTAAGAATACTTCAAGTACTATTACTACTACTACTACTACTACTACTACTACTACAACTACTACTACTACTACTACCACTACTGCTACTACTACTACTACTACTACTACTACTACTGCTACTGCTACTGCCACTACTACTTCTGCTACGACTACTACGACTACGACTACGACTACGACTCCGACTCCGACTACGACTACGACTACGACTACGACTACGACTACGACTACGACTACGACTACTACTACTACTACTACTACTACTACTACTACAACTACTACTAGGACGACTACTGATATTACTACTACGACTACCACGGCGACGACGACGACGACGACGACTACTACAACTACTACTACTGCTGCTGCTGCTGGTGCTGCTACACCCACTATCCTTTTGCATCACCGTCATTCCTCTTTCTCCTGCTCTGCCTCCTCCTCCTCGAGTCTACTCCTTCTCTTCTTCCTCCTACATCCTCTGTGCTCGTCCTCCTCCTCTTCCACCTCCTCGCACTCGCTCGAAGGCCCGGCAAACGGTTTTACTGGTCATTGGTGTGGTGCGGGTTCTGGTTCCTGCGACAATCCATGTGCGATGCTGGCACTGCTTGCGCAAAGGGATTTCGTTTGGAACACGCCAGCATCTTCGTAGACCAGCCTCACCTGCAATGTTGCACCGCACCACGCCGTGACGGGCCGCGGGCCCATCCCTGCGAAGTGTTCGAGACGCGTCCAGCCCATGGCTGCGAGGGCCCTCCAAGAGCCTACCCTTAGGTCCGGCCTGTCCCCCTACAGGGGGACGAAAAATAAAATACCAGGAACAATAGTTAACAAATGCTCAAAGATACTAAGAAAATTGTTCCCCGACTTTAAAAACATATTCCTGCTGTAGAGCGACAGGCCCGACTTAAGCCTACCCCCAAAGAGGACAATTCTCCCTCCTCCCTACCCCCTCCTGCCCTGCTGAGGAGGGTGCCAACTTACACGTAGGTCGGGCATGTCCTCATACAGGCGGATGCTGGAGGAACAAAATCAAACAAATAGAGTCAACAAATACTCCAACAACAAATCGAAAATGAGTCGAAATATCGTCCCCAGACTAGGTTTATATTATTTTTGAACACTCCTCCTGAGAGGGACATGCCCGACTTAAGTTCAAAGTCGTTGTATGCGCCTTCCTGGCCACAGGCAAGAGGATCGGTCCTGGGCCCAGGATTGGCCCGGCGCCAGGACTGCTGTAAGTGCACAGCTGGCGCCTCTCCGACGGGGGGAGCCACACGATATCGATACCGATGCCGCCGATCCCCAGTTCGAGGGAGCATCCAGGCGTGGCGATGAGGGCCTCTCAGGAGGCCCAAAAAGGCCGCAACGAGGGTAGCGACACGAACCCACGTGGCGCTTTCCGGACACCCTGGACACTGATCCTCGAAGGCAAAGCGTTTTGTGGAACGCCCGCTTTAGATTCGCGGTCACGCCCGTGACCGGCCCCGCCCCCGCTCCTCTCCACCCCGCCTGGTCGCGTCACGACTCACGATGTCGCCGTCTAAAATTAGGTCGGGCATGTCCTCCTAGAGGCGGGTTTGGGAAGACAAGTGTCAGAAAGTCGACAAATATTCAGAAACTGTGAAGCCCAGTAGAAACATCGTCGTCCATATTACTTTGCGACTTTTCTTGAATATTCCTCCTACAGAGGGAGATGCCCGACGTAAGTCTAGAATCAACCATCCCTGAGCATTCCCAGATTCCGAGGGACGGCGCTGGCGCGACTCATGACATGGCAGGTCCCTCCCCCCCACCCGCCCAGCCACGCCTGTCATCGCCAGGGGACTCGAGAGTGGGGAGGCAAGTGCTGGGAGGCCTTCGTCGGAAGGACTAAAGAGGATTGCGCCTCATTTGGGGGGCTGCAGCGCCAGACTGGGCCCCCGAATTGAGCGGGATTGAGCCAGATCAAGCGGGACGGAGCCAGATGCAGCAAGATCAGACCAAATTGCACCGGAACTCGGACCAGGGCAGAGCCGGAATTTTCATTTTACCCTCCCAGGAGTTGCATCCCAACGAGGAGCGTCCAGCGCCAACTCCCGAACGCGCTCGGCGGAGAGACGAGCGGGGATCGAGCGAGGGCCCGAGAGAGGGACGAGGCGAGGGCCACAGAGAGCACACGGCGGAGGGACAATGACCGAGCGAAACCACCGAGGCCCCGACCCCCTCCGGGGAAAAACAACATGCACCGATACCGCTCGGGGGCGGCAAAGAGGGGGGCGTCCAAGAGGGCGGGGTGCAAAGCATGGCCAGCGGCATGTGCGCGGCCCCGGGGGGGGCCGGGGACGTATTGAAATAAGAAGAGGCGCCATGAAATCTGGGGAAAAATCCTGGCCCACGCCATGATATCCACCCCCCCTAGTCATCACCCCCCTCTTTGGCGCCCCCGAGCTACTCCCCAGATCTCTCCCGGGGTGCGTCCTGACCGCGCAGGACCGAGCGAGGGCCTGAAGGAGGGACGAGGCGAGGGCCACAGAGACCACACGGCGGAGGGACAACGAACGGAACGGAACGGAAACCGGCTAGTGGCTCCGCGAGGGAGCTGCCGGGGGGGGGCTTAAGCCCACTCACTTGTGGATGTACCCCTGGCTGATGACAGTGGCGGGGGGACCATGGCCGAGCGAAACAACCGGGCCCCGACCCCTTCTGGGGAAAAACAGGATGTACCGGCACCGCTACTTTCAAGTCGGGCGTGTCCCCCTACAGGCCGATTTTGGACGAAAAATAAAAAATACCCCGAAAATGCTCAAAATATGCGCAGCAATACTCACAAAAAAGTCCCCAGACTATTTTTTGACTATTTTTGAATATTCCTCCTGTAGAAGGACAGGCCCGACGTAACGCTACTCCCCAGATCTCTCCCGGGGTGCGTCCTGACCGCACAAATTCGAAGCGAATCCAGCGGCGGCGACGAGAGCCTCCCAGGAAGGCCCACCAGCGCGAAAACGAGGAGCGGCATCGATGCCTGCCCCAAACATGCGACGTCTGGATTTTTGCAGCGCGGGGTCCCTGGAAATCCCGACCCTGTCCCCGCGACCGATCTGTCATTCCGAATCGTTTTTTGACGGTCCCGGCCCAGCGAAGGCTCCGAGGAGCTCAAAACGACCCAAAACCTCTCGTCTTGATTTTCTAACGACGCGAAAATGAAGGAAGGGTAGCCCATCCGAGCACCGGCCCCTGCAAAAAAGGGGCCAAGAGCGAGGAGCACCGCCAGGGTGCGTTCTGACGAAAATTTCGAGGCGAATCCAGCGGTGGCGATGAGCGCTTGGGCGTCGCTGAATGGGAGGGCGATCGAGGGGGGGAGACAGGTACCCTTCTCGGGCCCTCAAGGCTGCCTTTTGGGCCCTGAAGGGCCCCTTCAGGGGCCCCAAAGGGCTCCTTTTCTGCAGCCCTCGCCGTCCCTCAATTTGTCGCCCCCCCATTAGGAAGGCCTTCTAGATGGGGTGCGAGTAGATGGGGTCGGAGGATCGCGCCGCATCGCCAATGCATGGCCGATGTATCGGCGACGTCGGCAATGCATCGGCGACGCCAACGTGGAGAAACACGGGCTCCACATCGAGCCGCATCGGCGATGTATCGGCGATGCGGCGCGATCCTCCGACCCCATCTGGGTATCCTCCTATACAAGGGTTTTTAGACGAGAAATAGCAAATAGTCCAACATATGCAAAAAACAAGAAATGTCAAAGAATCGTCTCCGGACTATTTTTTGATTATGTTTGAATATTACCCCAGCTGAGAGAGGCTCGACTTAATCCTAGCCGTTGCGCGACGCCCGAGGCCGTGAGCGAGGAGCACCGCCCGGGCCACAAGGCCCCCTCCGCCACCGGCGTCTGGATGCGCCGCCCGCGCGCCTGGCCGTGCCGTCGAGCCGCGGTCCCGGCCCGCAGGGCCTTCGCAGCAGCCGGGCGTCTTCGGGGCACCGCGGACGCGCTCCGCTGTCGCTCGGGCCTCCTCCTCCTCCTCCTGTTCCCCCTCCTGTTCCTCCTATTCCTCCTCCTCCTCCTCCTCCTCCGCCTCCTCCATGCACCTGTTCCTCCTCCTCGTCCTCAACCTCCTGCTCCTGTTCCTCCTCCTCCTCCTCCCCATGTTCCTTCCCCTCCTCCTGAGCCTCGGGCGCACCGAAGAAGTCGGGGAGGCCACCGAGGGGAGGGCGGCTCGACCCCCCGGGCGCGCGCGCGCGCGCACGCGCGCGGACGCCGCGGCAGGCCTCGGCCGCGGTCGCCGTCGTCGGCCGCGTGGTCGCGGCCGGCCAGTCGGCGCTTCGGGGGCCGGCGTGTTTCCCCCCCCCCCCCCCCCAAGCAGATGCTGCCCTCCTCGCCACGGGGAGGAACGGGTCCTGGGGGAAACGGGCCCGGAGGAGCCTTGCTGCTCTCGGGCTCTCGCTCGGGGCCCTCCACGGGCCCCAGGACCGGCAAGGCACGACTGAGGATGAAGATCTCGTCCCGGGGAAGGCCCGGGGGTCCATGACTCGTTTCCCTCAAGACCCGCTTTCCTCAGGAAGAGGCCTCCTGGATGGGGTCCGAATAGATGAGGTCGGAGGATCGCGCCGCACCGGCAATGGATCGCCGATGCATCGGCGATGCGTCGGCGATGCACCGGCGACGTTGGCGATGCCTCGGCGCCATCGGCGAAGGGAAAATCGGGCTCCCCACATCGAGCCGCGTCGTCGATGCATCGGCGACGCGGGACGATCATTCAACCCCATCTACTCGGACCCCATCTGGGAGGCCCAGGCCGAAACGATTTGGTTCTATCCTGCGGTCTCCAGCTCGGTGCCGGCCCCCGGGGCCAGTTGTCGGGCGCCAGCAGATCAAACCATGGATCCCGAACGAAAAAACGCGCGGTTGGGACCAAAAAAACTAACCCCAGGTAAGTGCCCCCTCCTCCTCCTCCTCCTCCTCCTCCTGCTCCTCCTCCTCCTCCTCCCCCCCCTTCCCCAAAGAAGATGAGGACCTCCTCCACCAGACAAGCAACGTTTTGAACAGAGTCAGGGCGGGAGGCTTTCCGTCGCCTTCGGCATCTGGGGATCCTCGCTGGGCCGCGAAGCCGTCAAGAGACAACTCGGGGTGAACACACCTGCCCTACAGTGGAGGCCCACGCCAACAAACACCCTGCTTGCCTCTAGGGTGCCTTGGGTTTCTTGGGTTTCGATGGTTTTGCGATGGAAAGCGTGACGCTCCCACACCCAAGTGGATGCTCTGGGGTCTCAGGGTTGGGTTTCTTGTGGAAGGTTCTTGTGGACTGGCCTCCACTGTAGGGAAAGGGTCGGGACTTCTCGAGACCTTGTATGGAACAAATCAAGGCATCGCATGTCAGGGTCTCCTCCTCCTCCCCTGGCATAGCAAGTCAACACAGCAAAGCTGCGCCGCAGCATGAGACGAAGGACAGCATGCCGGCCACCGCAGCTGCAGAGTCCACGAACCCACTGCGTGGAATCCAAAATACGTCCCGTGAGACGACGGTGGAGTAAGGCAGCCATGATGAGACGAGCCACGTGAAGCAAATTCTGAGGCCCACCCTGTACGAGACCCCCCCTACCCGCTTCATGGACGGGCTGTTCTGCGTGAGGGGCGGGCGCAAGAGAAAGCGAATGCTCCTGAAGGTCCACACTATGTGTCGGCCGTTTCCGGAGGGACCATACTATTTTTTTGAAGGAGGAAGAGGGGGAGGAGGAGGACGAGGAGGAGGAGGAGGAGGAAAAAGGACGAGGAGGAGGAGGAGGTGCCGACCACAGATGAGGGCTCCCGAACCTCTTCTGGAGGCTGCTGGCATTTCCTGAAAAACCTTGGAGGATTTCCGGAGGTTCTCGAATGCTTTCGGACGTTCCCGGACTCTCCAACGAACATCTGGAGGCCTTCGGCATCTTCTGCACACAGGACTGAAATTTCTGGAGGTCCTCAGGGAGGGAAGGGAATGAGAGGGAGAAAGACGAGACGATTACGGATCCTCGGCGGCGAGCAAGGGGGGGAAGTGAGAAGGAGAAGGCCTTCTCAGAAGGCTCGGAAGTCCCCTGGTATTCTGAGAAGTTTTCTACGCCTTCCCCGAAGACACAAAACAACTTCTCAGAAGGCGCGAGGGCTTCTGAGAAGTCCCCCCGCCTTCTGAGAGGGTCTTCTCCTTCTCACTTCCCCCGCTCGCTCGCCGCTGAGATTCGGAGGGGAGGACTGGGGGGAGAACGAAGGAAAAGGAGGAGGGAGGTGGCAGGGAGGGAGAGGGAGGGGCAGGGTGAAGAGCGGCAAGATTAAGTCGGGCCTGTCCCCCTACGGAGGCGGCTTTTGGACGAAAAATGGAAAGATGCAAAACAACAGCCGATACATTCAGACATTATATTTTGTTGTTGATTTTTTTTTTTTCAAAAAAAAAAAACAAAAAAACGTCTCAAGACTATTATTTTAACTATGTTTGAATATTCCTCCTGTACATGGACACGCCCGACTGAACAACAGGAGGGAGAATCTGGAGTAACGTCAGGCCAGCAGGTCTCTCAGAAGTTCACGCGAGGCATGCTGGAGTGCAGCTGGCTCGATCACCGGCGGGCCTCGACAAGCCTCAGCGTGCACGCACAAACTTTAGGTCGGGCATGTCCCCCTACAGGGGGATTTGGGCGTGTTTTTTTTTCCTCTCAAAACAATTTTTTTTAATGAAACACACACACACAACAAAAAAAAAGGCTGAAAATACTCTACAAATGCTCGGAAATTAAAAAATCGTCCCCTAAACTATGATTTGACTATTTTTGAATATATTCCTCCTGTGGCGGGACAGGCCCGACTTCACACAAATCGAGCCATACCCTTTCATGGGCCGCAAACATGTAAATCCACCACAACGAGTCCACGCGAAGAATGCAAAACGCTCCGGCGCCTCGTACTTCCGGCACATGGACTGCAAGATCGAGGACAAGTTCCGGCAACTGCCGCCCTGGAGGGGCGCGAAATGGCTCTCCCCGCCCGCCCGCTTCGCCCGCGTCCGTGCCCAGAAGGGAAGGAGGACAAGGAGGAGGATTACACACATTCCTGCCCGAACGACGTGGGCTCTGGTTTCGGACACCGCATAATTCGCCCAATCTTGAGCGTTTCCCGCTCTCAATCTACGGCTGATCTCGCCATGAAACTCCCAACACCTTCTCCAGCAACCCTCTGTCATCCAGCAACCATCTGTCCTGTATTCCCTGATCTTACACCTTACGGTTTTGAAACTTGCTTTATGCCAGGCGAAGATCGATCTTAAGAGAAGGTCCACGCTTCTCGTTCATTAAAGACGCCTCCTGAGACCCACCAGGCCTGGTACAATGCCCAGTCAGACGCTACGTGGACCGTCTCTGTTTAAGCAACAAGTTCTGCATGACAACACCGGTCAATGCTTCTCGTCCCTTGACCGAAGACGCTTCTTGTCATCCGCCACGCATGAAGAGAACGCTTCCCGACACACCTTGCGGTGGGGCACCATCAAGCGTTTAAGCTCTCTGTGAAGGGTATTGAAATTCGACCCTGAAACAACAATCCATGCTTCTCGGTCCTCGAAGACACTTCCCGTCATCCGCCAACCTACTCCCCCATCTTTCCACGACTTTCTGCTATACGACCGGCCATGCTGAACTTCCTGCGAATAGCGCGGAAGCAAGTGCGCCTGGAACCTCACGAGGTCGTCCACCTGGCAACGTAGCAGCACAGCTCGCTGCAAAATTACAGTGCGCATGGGGAGCTCGGGCGCATGGGTAAAGCAGTCAGGCGGATGGCTAGAGCGACAGCGTGACGTTACTACGTAAAAGTAGTGCCGCCCCGACGACCAATCGATGAAGGCAGCACCTAAAACAAAAAAACGCCTAGCTAATAACTGCACGACTGCTCGTTGGGTCAAACCCGACGAGATGTGGCGTTTCCAAACGCCAGCACCTATGACGACACAGAACAGAGCGGGCCTCCACCATTGAGACAAGAGTACTTTGGCCTAGGGCACAATGTATACATATTTGTATAGACCTGTATGTACTAAGTAAGCTGTATAGGGTATAGGTATTGGTATACATTTGCGGGCAGAAATGCAATATGAATCTGCTCAGATTTCCGCTCGCCAAAAGAACGTCACCATAGCCGAGAAGGTCGAGACGTTTCAGCGATCGCTGGATACTCATTTCGACCGCCTCAAGCAGGCGGACCTCCCGTCACCGAGCGCAGTCTGCTTCGCGCAGCATTGGACCTGGAAGTATTCGGCCGCGCGGTCATAGGGGACGTGTGCCACGCGCCGGCACGAGGTGGCACGTGGGCCCTTCGTGTCTCGAAGTGCTCCAACCCCGCGCACGGAGCGCACAAGACGTCACAGTGTGTGTGTCGCGCACGTGCGCGGTCGCCGACGGACTACTCGTGCTCGGCGCGAGCGGTGACGGCAGTGCAGGCCCGAACAGACCAGTGAGGCAGCTGTGCTGCCAAGCGCAGCATGGATCCTCGATCGTCTGGCCGCTAACTCTCGCAACTTGGGGTTGGTTATTGCTCCAATTGCAGCTTAGAGATTGGGAGTGCTGTTAATCATGGTATTGCGACTCTTCTCGAGGCCTCGGGAGCGCGGCTGTGGACCCATACCTCCCGCATGCCTTACGATTGCTCTACGGAGCTATCTTGAGGCTTCCCAAATGGGCTCCAGAACGTTCCGACTATGCCGAGCGCTCTTCTCCGAACGATGGAACTCGGCGCACAGGCCTCGTGTGGTATTTTGCCTCTCTTCGGTTCAAGCCCGTCCTAAACTCTGCTGGTCGGGCGGGTGGTAACGGGGAGAGACCTAAAAGGCCGTAAAGGGGCCCTTCAGGGCCCCGTAAGGGTCCCTGCTGGCTCCAGCAGGAGGGCCCTTTTCGTCACCTCCACTTTAATTAGGCCAGCCCCCCTGAGCACCCGCCCGAACTGGAAGGGTGAGGGGCTCTGGTCTCTCGGCGCGCAGCTCCAAAAGCCTACGTTCATGCAGATGTTTACTCCTCGGAGCAGAGCACCGACCCCCCGCTTGACCTAGGCAGGCTTGAGCCTCCAGTGGGGTACAAACAACCCGTATCATGAGGATGCGCGGTAATGATGCAAGGGCCTTGGAAGGTCATGTCGACACTTTGCGAGCGGGGCGCGGCCAGCGCAAGTCGCTAAAGATGGGCCGAAGGGACAAGGAGGCAAGGGTACCCTTGGGAAGGTTGCCTATCCTGACTATGCGGGTTGGCTGTAGCGGGAGACGGAGAGCAGAGACGGGAGATAGAGAGAAGGAGCCCGCACATCTCTGAGGGCCGGGAAGACCTAGCGCTTACATCGAACGACCATCTTGAGCAGTTTCTTCGGCTACACGCAGGAGTGACCCTGGGTAAGAGTGACCTTTGGTGCGCGGCTTTTTGGGGGCCGCGGGGGGACCAAACATAAGCGCGCAAGACGCTACTATCGCACCGCGTTCGGCGATCGGGGGGCCCCAGTGGGCCCGCACCAAAAGTCACTGCTTCGGGTCACTCTTACGTGCAGTCGATTTTTATGCCTCTCGGATAACAGGAGCGGCCCCCGGTCGCGGACACCGCCGCGCGCCGGAGGCGCCAAAAGCGCCGCTCTTACGCGGTGCGCCGTCGAGGCGAGAAAAGTGGACCCCGCCGGGGGGGCGCGAATCCTCGTACGTAGATGACTCTGCGCCCGCGCCCGCGCTCCCGCGTCGCGATCCCTCGTAAGTCATATTGGGTTCGCTCCCAGGGCCAAAGTCCCTCGCAGATTACACTGCGCCCGCGCTCCCAGGGTCACGTCACGATCCCTCGTGAATTACGCGGCGCGCGACCTCCCAGGGATGCAATCCCCAGCAAGTTGCGCTGCTCTGCGCCTCTTTCCGGACGCAGACAGGGATGCCAGGGCAGCGGGGCCACCAGGGAGGCCAGGGAAGCCAGGGGAGGCCAAGACGACACGAACATACAATACGAAGCCCTGCTGCGGACGGGGAAGGCGAGAGATGATGGGCCGATTTTCCACCACCACTATCAGAGGTATGAGAGGGAGGAGGAGGAGGAGGAGGAGGAGGAGGAGGAGGAGGAGGAGGAGGAGGAGGAGGAGGAGGAGGACCTCCTCATCCTCCCTTCTCCCCCATCCAACATATGGTAGTGGTGGTGGAAAGCTTGCCCATCAAGAGAGGCCAGGGGGGAGGCCAAAGAAGCCAGGGAGGCCTGGGGCAGATGCCCGGAGAGGGGCGAGCTGAGGCAGCGGCTGCTCAAAACCGGTCCCCGGACCCCTCCCGGGGTCCAAGCGCACCAGGCTTCTGAGCCGCGCACAGAGGCCAACTTGCCGTTGTCCCAGCTCGCCCTCCAACTGGGGGAACCAAACAGAGCCGATAGTTACCCCTGCCTCACGGACCTCAGGGCGTGTTCTGACCAGGACCTCGCGGCGAATCCAGCCGTGGCGCCGGGGGCCTCCCGGGAGGCCCAAGAGCGCGAAAACGAGGCAAGAGCAGCGGCAGCGATGACATGGGCCAATCTTCAACCACCGCAATCACAGTCAGTTCGGGGAGAGGAGGGAGGATGGGGAAGTCCTCCTCCTTCTCCTCCTCCTCCTCCTCCTCCTCCTCCTCCTCTCCTCCTCCTCCTCCTCCTCCTCCTCCTCCGCCTCCTGCTCCTCCTCCTCCTCCTCCTCTTTCTCCTCCTCCTCCTCCTCCGCGCTCCTCCTCCCTCCGCCTCCTCCTCCTCCTCCTCCTCCCCCTCCTCCTCCTCCTCCTCCTCCTCCTCCTCCTCCTCCCCTCTCCCCCCCTCCTCCTCCTCCTCCTCCTTCCTTCCCTCCTCCTCCTCCCTCCTCCTCTCCTCCTCCTCCTCCTCCTCCTCCTCCTCCTCCTCCTTCGCCTCCTCCCCCTCCCCCTCCTCCTCCTCCTCCTCCCTCCTCCTCCTCCTCCTCCCTCCTCCTTCTCCTCCTTCTCCTCCTCCTCCTCCTCCTCCTCCTCCTCCTCCTCCTCCTCCTCGCTCTCCTGGCCCTGGCAGCAGTGGTGGAACATCGGCCCATCGCTGCTTGTTTTCGGCGCGGCCAGCAGCTCGTGCTCGAGAACGGCCTGATCGCGGGCGCGGCGGAACGCGCTCGGCGGCCGCGCGCGCGGAGGAGCCGCCGCCTCGCAGGGCGCGGCGGCGGGCGCCGAGGCGGCGGCCGCCGCCGGCCCGGGCCCTGGCGCGCCGCGCTCGAGGACGTCTCCGACGCGGTAGGCTTCCACCGCCGCCGGCGGCGCCTCCGCCTCCTCCTCCTGCAGTGGAGACGTAAGACTCGGGCTCGGGGGGCTCGGACCCGAGTTACGAGAGCGGCGCTTCTGCACCGCACTGTGTTTGAACTCCCTTCAGGCCTCCCTTGGGGGCTCTAGGGCCGACAAGCTGTGCACCGTACAATTCCTGGGCCGAAGATCGACAACGCCTTGGGAGACGCTCGCGCGGTACGGTGCATACACATCGTCCGCGGACAAGTCGCCGTGTATTGGACCCAAGTCGCCGCGACAAAGATGTTCGGTGGCAACTCGTGGGAGCCTCCCATGCCATCTTACTGGCTCGTGAACATCGGCGCTGGCCAATGTAAATCGACGCTAGCCGACTCCAAGCGACGCGAAATCGACGACAGTCGACCCTACGTCGACGCTAGATCGGCGCCTTATCATCGGTTGCCAGACGCCAGCTCACGCTAGTGCACCCTTAGGGGCGAAATTTCGAGGACTCGTACAACCGACTCGGGTTGGCCTGACGGGGCCATCCTGGAAATGGCGACCTACAACCCGAAATTTGACGCGAGTTCCCGCTGCAAGTATCCCACGAGAAGTGGACCGTCAAAATCCAAGACGCGCTCGTCAGGAAGTGTCGGCCAATCCGAGTTCCGGCATGCTCGAGTCTTGCGTTTCCCCGATCCTGTGAGGGGCTACGTCGTTCTGCTACTCGCATGCAGCTCGCATGCAAGTTCTACTAACGCATCCCCGCGCCGGCTCTCATGGTCTGAGCAGGCTCTTCCCTGGTCCTCCCCCCCGCGCTCTGTTCTTTCCGCCTTCGTGCCTCAAGTCGCTCCCGGTGCACCCCACCGCATGCTGACCGGCGTCTGACTGTCTTTGACCACTTGGCGCCCGTATGATAAAAAGTGAGGGGCTACGTCAAGGGGGGGGATCTGCCCAGAGGGGGAATGCATCGTTCGAGGTTCGAGGTCTGCGGGCAATCTCGTCGATTCCAGGCGGGCTTCCAGCCTTGGGATGTGTTCCAGCGGCTGCAGCTCGCCGAAAGCGTTGCGGGTGTGCCGGGATTGTCCCGAACGGCCGCTGGAGGCCCGAGTGATGACCCGAAGGCCGTCAGGGAATGGGCTCAGGCGGCGATGCTTTGACACACGGAGGAGGAATAGGAGGAGGAGGAGGAGGAGGAGGAGGAGGAGGAGGAGGAGGAGGAGGAGGCGGAGGAGGAGGAGGAGGTACGATCGCCCATGGATCGCCGATAGGGGCTCGATCGCCCACCCCGCCCAGGAGCGTGCGGATATTCAACATCGGGGACCTGCCGCTGACCTATCTCGGCGGTGCGGGAGGGAAAGAGGACAGGTGACCACTGGCCATCGCTCGGACGTCCATTCCCTGTGTTTTTTTTCGGTTTCGCGCGTGGTTTTTTCGCCGAATGATCAAGGATGCTCCTCGATGGTCCTCGCCGAGGGAAAAATGCACACGTCCGAGCGATGCCAAGACCGTGGCCGGGACTGAACGCGGAAACGTCGGTGCCGATCTTGGTCACCGTCCATCTTGCTCACCACTGATTCGTGGATCAGCCTTGCGAATCGGCGACGGACGGCATGGACCATGACCGAGAGCGCCGCCGACAATATCCCGCGACACCCTGGTCATGGTCATCGAATTCTTCCCTCGATCCTCGCCCGGCTCCCAGGGCACGCCTGGCGAGCCGTGGTCCAGCAGCTGCTTCAGGAACCCGACGTTCTGCAGCACCGGCTGGCGGCGCCTAGTTTCAGCGGTGGACAAACCTCCCTTTAGTAAACCTCCCATCAATGAAAACTGCCTAAGACTGAAACCGACGGACCTGGACCCGCAAAAATGACGGCCGCGACGCCCTCTCGCGAACCCAAAACGGCCAATTCCTTCATCGACGTGTCAGGGTAGGAGATCTATCAACCTCCGATAGTTGGGGTGCGAGAGCAGTTCCATGCAGTTTTTGGGGCGTTCCCAGGAACCAGAGCGCATGCCAAGGCCAGGAAACCTCCCAGATGGAAATACCAGCACGGTTCTTCGAACCAGCGTTGATGTCTGTTGGGTGCCACTGGATTTGCACTATACTTTTCTAGGAGAGCGCTGCCTGCTGGGGGGAAATGATTTGTTTGCCAACAGGCACGCAACAGGCGAGCAGCAGCAAGAAGGTAGCACCAGGCAGCAGCAGGCAGCACCATCCAGCGGCAGCATCGAGCACCAGCAGCAGCAGCGGCAGCAGCAGCAGCAGCAGCAAACAGCAGACGGAAGCAGCAAGAAGCTTCAAGCAGACGCAGGCAGCACCGAGCAGCGTCAAACATCGGAAACCAGCAGCATCACGCAGCAGCTGCGCGCCGGCTCCGTGCTGCTCCCGACTGAGGGGCAACGGGGGCAGCCAGCAGCGAAGGAGGGAAACGTCGGTCTGGAGTCGGCGATACATCGCGCTACGGCGATGCCCCCGATGGCAAATCTGCACGTTCCTCGGCGGGTTGGTTGGGCCGTCCAGCCCCCCTCGGCCACGAGTGGGCGACTTGGAGTCGATGCACCCCCCACGAGCAAATTCCCCGGAACGTTGCCCCCGAGAACTGATGGGGGCAGCGGACACCGCTACGGCCCAGACCTCTCCAAGGGTGCGTTCTGAACAGGGCTTCGGGCCGAATCCAGCCGTGGCGACGAGGGCCTGCCGGGAGGCCCAAGAGGGTGAACAGAAGCAAGGGCAGCGGGCGGTATCCGTCCTCTTAGGGGGGTGGGGGGGCAACGCAGCTTTCCCAGGCCCGGTCCGCGATATCCAGTCCACGGCTCAGGAGGGAGGAAGAAGGTGTAGGATGAGGGGGAGGGAGGAGGAGGCGGAGGGAGGGAGGAGGCTGGAGGGAGTGAGGGAGGGTTCACTACCCATACAGGGACGGTCCGAGGGGAGAGAGAAAGTCCCTGGCAAGGTGACGAGCCCTGCCAAGGCCCGCAACTGGAAGTGAGGAAGGGAGGAGGAGGAGGAGGAGGAGGAGGAGGAGGATCAGGAGGAGGAGGAGGGAGGAGGAGGAGGAGGAGGAGGAGGAGGAGGAGAAGGAGGAGGAGAAGGAGGCAGAGGAGAAGGAAGGCTGCGATCGTTGATCGCTTCAGCAATCAGGAATCAGGAATCAGGAATCAGGAGAAGGAGGAGGAGGCGGAGGAGGAGGAGGAGGGAGGGAGGGATGGAGTGAAGGGAGAGCTGGAGGAGGAAGAAGAGGTGGAGGCGGAAGGGAAGGAGGCGGAGGAGGACGACGAGGAGGACGACGAGGAGGAAGAGGAGGCGAAGGAGAAGAAGGAAGACGAGGAAGACGAGGAGGAGGAGGAGGAGGAGGAGGAGGAATCCTGTGAGGGGTGGGCAGCGCAGCTTTCCAGGGCCCCGGTCCGCGAGATCCAGTCGACGGCCCCCAGCACGCCGAGGCCGGGGCCCCCGGTGGGGCTCGGCCCCTGCCGCGCCATGAAGGCCGCGGCGACGGCCGCGGAGCGGTTCACGCCCTGCATGCAGTGCACGAGGACGGCGCGGCCCTCCTCGGGGGAAAAACACACACACACACACCCGCACACACACATACACACACAACACACACACACACACACTGTGGTGTTTTCTCCCACAGTGTGTGTTTCTTTGTGTTTTTTTTCCCACGGGGGGGGGGGGGACAAGCCCAAATCTCCGAACTTTCAGCCTCCGGAGGGCCTGGTCGGGCCTCGGGGTCGTCAAACAACGACTCAGGACGAGAGACCGGTCCCGGGGAATGGGTCGAAGCGTCTGGGGGTCGACGTCATGAAAAAATCATGACGCCGGGGGTCTGGGACCCATGCACCGCCCCGACCGCGCCTCCCCTCTCCGGCGAGGATGTGGCTTCTTCCATCCAGGCGGGTTTCTTCGATCTCTGCGTCTGGGGGGCGTTGCCGGGCCCCGGGACCCTCGAAGACGGATCTGGCGCGCGAGACTACCCCCGGGCCAGGGGTCGGGACCTCTGGGGCCGCGGATTGAAACAAATCGCATCGGAGGATGTCCGGAAAGGTGGGGTAGGGGCAGAGGTGGGGTCAGAGGAAAACCGCTTAAAGAAAGTCCGCTTAAAAAAAGGACATGTGAGTATTCAGCTGGGTATGTTCCCTAACCCCACCTTGGGATAACCCCCCTCTACGAAACTCCGACTTCCGGTCAGGCACGCTGTTCGGTGGTAAGCCCGGGGGGACGTGAGAAGGAGCAGGCCTTCTCAGAAGGCCGCGGGCCTTCTCAGAAGCCCCCCCCCGCCTTCTGAGAAGCTTCCAGCGTCCTCGGGGAAGGCTCCGCAAACTTCTTGGGAGGCCGAGAGCCTTCTGCGCGGGCCCCGCCCCCCCCTCTCCTCTCCCCCCAGGCCCGCCGCCGACCACTGCTCGATGGCACCCCTGGTTCGTTGGTCGCCTCACCATACCCGCTCGCCGCCCGCGTCGGCCTGTGCTGGGGCGCACACGCGCGCGACCTTCATGGTCCGAGCGTGCTGCGCCGCCTACGGCCTCCTCCCTCCTCCTCGCTCCTCCTCCTCCTCCTCCTCCTCCTCCTCCTCCTCCTCCTCCTCCTCGCTCCTCGCTCCTCGCTCCTCGCTCCTCCTCCTCCTCCTCGTTCCTCCTCCTCGCTCCTCCTCCTCGCTTCTCCTCATCGCTTCTCGCCTCTCGCCTCTCGCTTCTCGCTCCTCCTCCTCCTCCTCCTCCTCCTCCTCCTCCTCCTCCTCCTCGCACATACCCAAAGGCGCAACGAGGGTTCCATGGGTCCTTACTCATCTAATTACCTGCTGTAGCAGCTGCGCTCTGGCAGCACGAACCGAGTCAGCCATCGGCCAACCTTGACGCCTGTGGTTATATGCATAAAGCGCAATCACTAACCGCTGCAGCGCCAAAACTCTCTGTTCAGGCGTCATCCGACGAGCCAGACCGAGCCTCTTGTCGAGATGGTGCTCTATCGGAAGGTCTGGTTTCCAGTGAGACTGAACAAGACCCCAGAGCGTCGGACACGACAAATAGTGCTGTTGATCATCCATCTCCGACGGACATTCAAACAGGCACTTCGCATCCTTCTGACACATCCTCCTCTCCGTCGTCCAACCCCCGACTAACGTGCGAATGATCGAGAACTGCCACGCAGGCGGCATGGTCAACATGACTTGCTTCAGATCAGGCCAAGAAAGAGCCTGGAGAGCTCGAGCTGATGGCGGCCTCGAGGCCCACTTCGAGATACGCTTCACAATCGTGCTCGCAAGATCATCGCTAAGAAGAGTCTGCTCAAGACTTCTCGTGAGAGTGCGCTGGACAGGAGTAGCAGGGTCCTCCCTGCGCGCAGCCGAGAGAGCAAGACGGGGCCTCCTCCTCCTCCTGCTCCTCCTCCTCCTCTTCCTCCTCCTCCTCCTCTTCCTCCTCCTCCTCCTCCTCCACCTCCTCTTCCTCCTCCTCCTCCTCCTCCTCCTCTTCCTCCTCCTCCTCCTCCTCCACCTCCTCTTCCTCTCCTCCTCCTCCTCCTCCTCCTCCTCCTCCTCCTCCTCCTCCTCCACCTCCTCTTCCTCCTCCTCCTCCTCCTCCTCCTCCTCCTCCTCCTCCTCCTCCTCCTCCTCCTCCTCCTCCTCCCCCCTCCGCGCCGTTCCTGCGCCTGGTGTGCCTGATTGGGCCCCGAAGCGCACCTCTCGGCTGCCCCGACCGCGTCTTTGGACCCAAGTCGCCGCGGCAGAAATGTCCGGTGGCAACTCGCGGGAGCCTCCCATGCCATAATGCTGGCTGGCTCTTGAAAGAAAGCGCCGATCGACGGATATCGACGCCAGACGACGCTCATCGGCGTTAAGCTGACGCCACTCGACCCGAATAGCCGGCGCTAGATCCGCGCTTTCTCATCTGTTGCCAGACGCCATCGCATGCTAATCTGGCGGCGCGCACAAAGGGGGTATGGGAAAGGGGGGGGAGGCTTCTCAGAAGGAGGCTGCTTCTAAGAAGCCTTCGCCCACCCCTATTCTAGGGACCTGAACTCTATACACCGACGCTTGTTGCGGCCCTGCACTGAAATTTGCACAAGGAAGCGAATCCTAGTGTATACGGGGTTATGGTGTATACGTTGTTCGCTGGTTCCTGGGAAACGGAACAAAAGTATACACCACACCGCCCCGACGTCGTCCCAGACCCTCAAAAAGTCCTGGGATTGAAAACCAGCCCGGCAATGGTAATGTATTATATATATATATATATATATATTATATATATATATATAACACATATATATGTATATATATGTATATATATATATATATACATATATATGTACTGCAATCTCCGACTTGATTCCCCCCTCTGCGCGTGGCTGGCAAGTGCACTCCGAGGGCGGCATTTCGAGGACCTGCATGGCTCCCATGAATTGCGACCGAGACGCTGCCCCTGAGGGAACGGGCCGGAGGCCAGCCAGCCACGGCCAGGGGAGCTGTAGTCATCACAGCCCTAGCGCAACCAGAGGGAACTTGGAATAAGGAGCACAGAGGCTTCTCGAGCTACGGCGATCCTCGGCCACGAGTAGGTTCCCGACGTAGCTTTAAGGAGCGGCCCTGAAGCCAGAGCCTCTCCTGAGCCCGAAGTGGTCCTTCTTTCAACGTCTCGGCTGCGAGGAGGAGGAGGAAGAAGAGGAGGAGGAGGAGGAGGAGGAGGATGGGGAGGAGGAGGAGGAGGAGAGAAGGAAAGGAGTAGGTGAGGATGAGGAGGAGGAGGAAGAAGGAGAGGCGGGAGGAAGGAGGAGGAGAGGGAGGAGGAGACGATGATGGTCAAAAAAGGAGAGGAGGAGAGGAGTAGAGGGAAGGAGGGAGGAGGGAGAGGGAAAAGGAGGAGGAGGAGGAGGGAGGAGGAGTAGAGGGGGGGGGGGGGAGGAGCGAGGAGCGAGGAGCGAGGAGGAGGAGGAGGAGGAGGAGGATTAGGAGGAGGAGGAGGAGAGAAGAGTAGGAGGAGGAGGAGAGAGTGGAGGAGAAGGAGGAGGTGGGAGGAGAGGAGGAGGAGGAGAGGAGGAGGAGGAGGAGAAGCAGGAGGAGAAGGAGGAGGAGTAGTAGTAGTAGTAGTAGGAGGAGGAGGAGGAGGAGGAGGAGGGGGGGACGGGGGAGGCGAGGAGAAGGGAGGAGGCGCAAGGAGGAGGAGGATGAGTAGCAGGAGGAGGAGGCGGAGGAGGAGGAGAAGGAGGAGGGTGAAGGAGGAGTTCTGGAGTTCTGGGTATGGCGACAGTGTCGGTTACTGGTTACTGAAGCGGCTACTTGCCCTGCCGCTTCCCGCTGGCCAGCTCGACTTTACTGAGAGCTTTCGGCCAGAGGCCTCGGGAAATTCTATCTACGTAATGCTTTCGATTACCTGTATGACCCCCTCGAACTCAACGGCTAGCGCTCGAATCTGTTGCGAAGCGTAGCAGCCGCACTTAGTGCAGAACCAGAGGTCTAACCCCGAGTGGAAACTTAAAGCGCGTGATTCATGTGAGAACCCCCCCCCCCCCAAGATGCACCCTTAGCCCAGGAGGCGGCCTATACTGAATCCCGTCAATACTTATAAGAGAAAAGCAAGGGGAGCTCAACCAAGCACTTTTGCGGGCCCAGGACGTAAAACCCTGACACCTGGAACAGCTACTTGCATTTTCCTTGAGACAGTGAGTACTATTGAACATGGCACACACACTGGCCGCTGGAGGCCGCACTATGTCAGAAGGTTGCTGCCTACGCCTACGCTTGCCACCTTGCTCAGCTACTAACCGCTCTTCAGCTTGGATAGCCCCGAGTGTGCTTTGAAGGATACGCATGCGGACTGCGAAGGCCTGCTGCTCGACACTATGTATGCGTGCACGCTCAGACTCGGCTAGCCTAGCATCCTGTGCGCCAGCGGACGCGAAACAGTCGGCTACAGTATTTCCTAATACAAGAAGACGGGGTGCAACGCCTCGTACTATATCTACACCCTCAAGATGGGAGTGGACGAACAAAACAGTGCAGGAAACCTCGGATCCTCGCTCACGCAGGACGCGCCCAATTCTCCACCAAATGTCGGCGTCGGGGCCCGAGGGGTCGAGCCACTTACGCTGATACCAACCTAAGCTGACAGCATCGTTATCTGTAGTGTACACACAATGTCCAGACACACGCTGCAGGCATGCTAGAAGGCACCAGATCTCCCCACGGGCGACAGTCTGCCTACAACCTGGAAGAGGCCCCCAAGCACCGACTGAAATCTCCATTCGCTCGTCTAGCTGCTGAAACGACGTGATTCCTATGCCTGCACGTCGGAGCAGGGGGTGGTGGGTGTCCTTCCCCCCACTCGCGTCTCCAAACACAAGCAGTGGCCTATTAGACGTCCCTGAACCTAGAAAATCAAAATCCCTACCATCGATGGTCGTCCACATCTCGGCCTCAGGGGGCGGGGTAACCTCCATCCAGGCCCTGGGGATTAAACCGCGGGTCCAGTAACATTCTTCAGCCTCTGCCTGAGCATAGGCCTTCGAAACAATGTCCTCGCTGAGTTTAAAAATCGGATGGGACGACTGGGAA